TTCCTCCTCTCCCATTTCTCCTCCTTCTCCATCTCCTCCCCCTTCTTTTCCTCCTCCCATTTCTCCTCCCCCTTCACTTCCTCTCCCATTTCTCCTCCTCCTCCATCTCCTCCCTTCATCCACTTACACCCCCCCCCCCTTTCGTCAAAACATTCCTGAAGCAGCACAACGGACCCCCCCCCCTCCCGCCCCGCCTCGACACCGCCCCTTCAGTTTCACACACAGTCCCCCTCCCTCCCTCCCTCCCTTCTTGCTCCCTCAAAACCACACCTACAACCATTTAACATACCTCCCCCCTCCCTCCCCCTCATTTCATCCATCCATCCATCTAGGTCACAATCCCGCCTCACTCATCCACATAACTACCACCTTCCACCCCCGTCATCCACACAATCCACACCCTTGCCTCTCCACCCACCCTTCCACCCTGTCTCCATGCCCCTCCTCCTCCACCCACCTCTCGCTCACGAACCCGTCAAGCCACACCCTCCCTCCACCCTTCCACTCCTTCACCCGCCACCCTCCAAACCCTCCCTTCTCCTCCCTCACCCTCACCCCTCTAGCCACGTCCACCTACTCTCCCTTCACCCTTCCACTCCTCCACCCAATTCCTCTCCCCCCCCCCTCCACCCCCCCCCTACACCCCCTCCTCCTCCACCCCTTCCCCTCACCCCCTCCTCCCCCACCCCCACCTCCTCCACCCCATCCCTCTCTCCCCCTCCCCCTCCCCCCTCCCTACCCACCTCTCGCTCTCGGGCAGCGGGAAGCCGTCGAGCGTCCAGACGAACTGCGGCGGCGGGTTCCCTGTGGCCACGCACTTGAGGCTGACGGACGGGCCCGCTGCAGCGTCTGCTCCTGGAAGCGGTAGTGCAGCTCCGGCGATGAGTCTGCGGAGGGAGACGCTCATGGGCGGGCTGCTCGGGGCTTTCGGGGATTTCTTGGGGGGGATTTCTTGGGGGGATTTTAAAGGGCTTTTTTGGGGGGTATTTTAGGGGTATTCTTTGGGGGTATTTTGGGGGTATTTTAGGGGCTTTTTGGGGGGGTATTTTAGGGGGATTTCTTTGGGGGGTATTTTAGGGGCTTTTTGGGGGGGGATTTCTTTGGGGGACTGATTCGGGGGGTGTACTTGGGAATTGCTTTGGGGGATTTGTTTGCAGGATTAATTTTTAGGGATTAATTCAGGGGTATTTACTTGGGGGGGATTAACTTGTAGGATTAATTTGGGGGTTTATGAGGTGGTATGGGAGGGATTGGGGGATCTGGGGGTAAAGGAGAGATTACCTGCTGATGGGGATTTAAGGGCGGGATGGCGTGGGGGAGGAAGAAGGATTATTTTGGTGGGGATTCATGGGGATTTTCGGGGGATTCGAAGGATTACTTGGGGGGACTTATATCTCTATGGATTAATGAGTGGAATCTGCTGGAAGAAGTTTGGGATTAGATCCTTAAAGAACAGTAGAGAGAGGGAGAGAGAGAGAGAGGGGAAGGGAGAGATGTCCCTGTTTTTAACGTTCCTTTCAGAAATTCTTTCGTTTTTTTCTGCCTTTTCTCCTTTCTTTGTTTTATTTTCTTCATTTTCCTTTCTTTATATTTCTCTCCTTACTTTATCTTCTTTTCTTCTTTTCTTGTACTTCTATTTTACTTTTTTCTGATTTGATCCTCTCTTCCAGATCCTCCTCCTCTTCCTCCTTCTCCTGCTCCCCCCTTTTCCTTCTTCTTCTCTATCTCCTTTTACTTCTCCCTCTTCCTCCCCCTCCCCACCCACCCACGCCCTCCCTGGAGAAGGACTGGGCGGCCTGCGACTCCCATCCCTGCCGGTCGGGATCTTCAGGATGGAGTCAGAGCAACTCATCGGGTTTGGGGGGATGGGGGGGAGGGAGGGAGGGAGGGAAGGAGAGAAGGAGGGAGGGAGGAGGGAAGGAAGAGAAGGAGGGAGGAGGAGAGAAGGAGGGAGGGAGGGGAGAGAAGAGGGAGGGAGGGAAGGAGAGAAGGGAGGGAGGGAGGGAAGGAAGGGAAGGAGAGAAGGAGGGGGTGAGGGAGGGAAAGTGGTGAAGGAGGGAGAGAGGGAGGGTTAGGGAAGGGCTTCGAAAGCGCCGGGAAGAGGTCCTCCTGAAGCCCGCTCCCTCAGGGGCGCTTCCTCCTTCCGCTTCTCTGCCGGGAGCTTGGCGCTTCGTCGGTTGTGGGGCTGGGGAGGGAGGGAGGGAGGGAGGGAGGGAGGGAGAGGGAGAAAGAGAGAAGAAGAAGAAGTAGGAGAGAGAGAGAGAGAGAGAATCAGACAGACAGACAGGCAGAGAACGAAGCAAAGACAGTCGGGAAGAGAGAGGACTGAGGCGGAGAGAGAGAAACAGAGAGAGAGAGCGATTGTTTATTCATCGAAGGGACTTTTATCTTTAATAACGCGCCATGGAACAGCAAAACAACGGAAATTAAATCAATCCATAAAAAGTCAATATCAATTTGGACTCACTCCTTTAATGGCATCGTCCCTGCGTAAAGGCCGATGCGCGCCCGACGCCCCGCAGGCATTCACGAACCGCTCTCCACGCCCGACGAACCTCCGTCGCGGTCGTTCACGCGTCGGAGGAGGTTAAGGCCTAAAGTTGCGCTCTTTATGGGGGATTGCGGTGCGCACTCACAGGCAAAGTTCACTTATTGAGCCATCGGAATAAGTTTAAACAGGCGCGCGGGCCGTGGTGTCGCTCCCGCACGCGCGCGCTCGTAGCGTCGAGGGAACACGCGCGGGAAAGAGCGGAGCGGAGCGCGCCGGCGAGGGGGTGGGGGGGGGGGAGATTTAAAACGCCTCTACTTTATACGCGAGGAAGGAAGGGTGTGTGTGTGTGTGTGTGTGTGTGTGTGTGTGTGTGTGTGTGTGTGTGTGTGTGTGTGTGTGTGTGTGTGTGTGTGTGTGTGTGTGTGTGTGTGTGTCGGTGCTACGTGTGTGTGAGAGGGATGTGTATTCATGTGTGCGTGCGTGTGTACTATGCTGCGCCCCATGTATCCCGTTCATCAGCGGCGTGCGTGAGAGCGGGTGACGCCGCGGGCACGTGCGGGGAGGCGCCCTTAAAGTGGCCTTGCCCTCGGGAGCAGGTGGCGGCGCCGCGCGCGGAGGGCGACGCGGCCGAAGGGAGACTAATTGCCTCTGTTAATGAGCTGCTTCAGCGGCCACCTCCTCGCCGGGCGCAGCGCCGCGTCGGAAGGGCACCGCGGACGGAGGGACAGCGCCGGGAGGGAGGGAGAGCGCCGGGGAGGGAGGGAGAGCGCCTTGGGACCTCAATTAAAGGCGATGGTGTGCTGGGGTCGGGGGGCGGGGAGACGGGACGGGGATAGAGACAGGAAGGGGGAGATGGGTGACAGAGGAGAGAAAGGGGAAGGGGGGAAGAGGAGAAAGGGGAAGGGGGGAGAGGAGAAAGGGAAGGGGGGAAGAGGAGAAAGGGGAAGGGGGGAAGAGAGGAGAAAAGGGGGAAAGGGGGGGAGAGGGGAAAGAGGAGAAAGGGGAAGGGAACAGAGGTGAGAAGCGGGGGGATAGAAAGAGGAAGAGGGGTTAAAGAGGATGAAAGGGTAAGAGGATAAGAGAAAAGGAGATTCGTGAGAAATCATGTAAAGGAATAGGAGGGGAAGAGAATAAAGAGAAAAGAGGAAAGGAGAAGTAAGGTGGGGAAAACGGGGAAGGAGAAGGGGGACAGAGAATAAAGAAGGGGGAAATAGAGAAGAAGAGGAAAAGGAGAAGAAAAGGGAAGAAGAGGGGCAGAGAATAATGAAAAAGTAGGAAAAGAGAAGAAGGGGAAGGAGGAGGGAGGGGGACAGAGAATAAAGAGGGAAGGGGGGAACGAGGAAGGAGGAGGGGAACAGAGAATAAAGGAGAAGTAGAAAAAGAGAAGAAGAAAGGGGGGAAGGAACAGAGAAAAAGGAGGAGGGGGGAGAGAGGAGGAGGAGGGAGGGGGACAGAGAATAAAGGAGGAGGGGGGAGAGCGGAGGAGGAGGGAGGGGACAGAGAATAAAGGAGAGGGGAGAGAGAGGAGGAGGAGGAGGGAGGGGACACGTAGCTCAGCGCTGTCGCCAGGAGCATTCCGCGCGACCGAGGTGTCTTCGTCCGCGGCTCCCGGCGGCGGAGCGGAAAATCGCCGCTCGTTGCACAACACGCCGCCGGGGACACGGCCGGGCGCGGCGGGGGGCAGACGGACACTGAGGCAGAGAGATAGATAGAGAGAGGGATAGAGAAGAAATCGCGTGAACACACCCGTTAGTCTTTCTTCCTTCCTTCCTTCCTTTCTCATTTTTTTCCTCCTTCCTCCCTCATTTCTCTCTCTATTTTCCTTTCTTTATTCCTTCTTCCTCCTTTCTCTCTCTCTTTTCCTTTCTTTTCTCTCTTCAGAATGCACCCGTGACACGCAGTTGAAACGCAGCCTTCCTGACCAACGACCGTCTCCTCCTTCACCTTTCCCTCTACAACGGAGCTCCTTCCTCTCTCTCTCTCTCTCTCTCTCTCTCTCTCTCTTACGTTCTCTCTCTCCTCCTTCCTTCCTTCCTTCCTTTCCCTCTCACTCTCTTCCATCCTTTCTCTCTCTCTTTCTTACGTTCTCTCTCTCTCTCTTCCTTCCTTCCTTCCTTTCCCTCTCGCTCTCTTCCATCCTTCCATCCTTTCTCTTTCTCTTCCTTTCTCCCATCCTTCCTTTCCCTCACTCATTCTCTTCCTCCCATCCTTCCTTCCTTCCTCTCCCTCTCTCTCTTTTCCTTCCTTTCTCCCTTCCTTCCTTCCTCCCCCCCCCCCGACCTAACCCCTACCCCCCCCCCCTACGATACGCACAGACGGCCGCCCACCGCCACCCACGCCGCCCACCGCCACCCACGCCGCCCACGCCGCCCATCGCCGCCGCTGATGACACTCATCCGCCCATCGGAAAATATGCGTAATAACTGCCAACGATAATGTAAAACAATTTGCTCGTCGTGTGTGAGGCGCGGTCGATGGGGCTTCGGGCCGGGGGGGGGGGTTCGGGGAGGGGGGAGGGAGGGAGGGAGGGTGAGGAGGAGGAGGAGGGGGGAGGGAGGGAGGGGAGGGAGGGAGGAGGGGAGGGGAGGGAGGGAGGAGGGAGGGAGGGAGGAGGAGGGAGGGAGGGGAGGGGGGAGGGAGGAGGGAGGGAGGGAGGGAGGGAGGGAGGAGGAGAGAGAGAGAGAGAGAGAGAGAGAGAGAGAGAGAGAGAGAGAGAGAGAGGAGAGAGAGAGAGAGACAGAGGGAGGGAGAGAGAGACAGAGGGAGGGAGAGAGAGACAGGGAGGGAGAGGAGACAGAGGAGGGAGAGGAGAGAGAGGGAGGAGAGACAGAGGGAGGGAGAGAGAGAGAGAGAGAGAGAGAGAGAGAGGAGAGGGAGAGGGAGAGGAGAGGGAGAGGGAGAGGAGAGGAAGGGAGAGGAGAGGGAGAGGAGAGGAGAGGGAGAGAGCGAGAGAGCGAGAGAGGAGAGAGAGAGAGAGAGAGAGAGAGAGAGAGACGAGAGAGCGATGAGAGCGAGAGAGCGAGAGAGAGAGCGAGAGAGAGAGAGAGAGAGAGAGAGAGAGAGAGAGAGAGATGAGAGAGAGAGAGAGAGAGAGAGAGAGAGGGGGGGGGGGAGGGAAGGCGCTTGGACGAAAAGGAGGAGGGGGCGAAGGGGGGAGGGTAATGAGGAGGTGGTTATGATGGTGAGGATTAGGATGAGGAAGAAATGGAGGTAATTCTCTACGGTACAGACGCACCCGTCCAACAATCTTGGGGGTCACGTGGGGAACCGGGGGTTGGGGGGGTAAAGAGCGGGCCCAGCTTGATTTCAGTGTCAGTAAATGGCTAAAGTTAATTATGAATGCAATGAAATACGACTTTTCCGAAATGAGAGTGTCCGATTATGGCGCCATATTTGAA